GTTGGTAACTCAGCAACACGAGGAAACCATAAAACAAATTCAATTGATTGAAATGTCCCCCTTTGTTTGCTCTCCCTTAAAATCCATTAAAAAAAAGATTCTGCTCGAGAGGGATAAACTCATTACGGGCTTCAGATCAGAGCCATGTGATGGAGGCTTTTTTTTCCTCCCTGCTCTTTCTCTCCCACTCACCCAGCTCTCCTCCCCCGATGGAGAAGTCCCGCTCCAGGACCTGCCACTTCTGGATGCGCTGGGCGTTGGACGTGGCCCTCTCGTTGACCTGGTTGATTCCCTCCTGGATGGCGGCGTGGACGGCGCGGTCGCGGCCGCCGGCGACCTGGGAGACGCGCGTGGCGTTGCTGCCCAGCTTCCTGCACAGCTCCTGGCCTTCCGCCGTCAGCTCGTCCTCCGGGTCGCCCGTCTCCGCGTTCGTCTGGCACTGCACAGAGAAAACGCCAACGCCTTTACAAGCGCCCGCGGGCCTCCTGAACGCCCACCAGGGGGCGGCGTTCCACATTCAAAATGAGAAGATCCGGCTCTGCTTTTTGGAGACAGATACACTGTCTCCCTATGAGATTTGATAGAAGTCATGAGGACACAAAGTTTACAAATAAGAGTGTTTTCAAACTACGCTCACAGATACAGAGTTGCGTCTGAGGCCTGCTCCAGACACCCGTCACCGTCTTATCTCAGAGATTAGAGATTAACCGAGCGGGCGCGGTGAGACGAGCGCATCTTATTTTTTTTTTTACCTTAATGGTGAGCAGCATGGACAGAAACTTCTTCTTGTCTCCGATCAGCATGGCGTTGCTGACGAGCGGCAGGGCCTCTTTCACTGCGTCCTCGATGGGGACGGGGGGGATGTTCTCCCCTCCTGCGGTGATGATGAGCTCTGTGGGCACAGCAGAGGAGTTCAGACCGTTTCAAAAAGAAGAGCGACACTCCGGGGGGGGTCCTACGAGTGAGTTACCTTTAATCCTCCCGGTGATGAAGAGGAAGCCGTTCTTGTCGTGCTTGCCCAGGTCCCCTGAGTGGAGCCAGCCCTCTGCGTCCAGGGCTTCCTCGGTCTTGTCGGGCATGTTGAGGTAGCCCATGAAGACGTGGCGTCCCCAGAAGCAGATCTCGCCGTTCCCCTCCTCATCGGTGGTGTGCAGCTTCGTCTTGCACCCGGGGATCTCTTTACCGCAGCTGAAAGGCAAAAGCATTCCCTCACCGATAGGAACCCTTATTATAACCCTGTTTTTTTAACCCTTAGCTTAACGAAAAAGGGGGAAAAAGGGAGAAGAAAAACCAAAAAGGCACCTGGTGAGCTTGAAGGCTTCGGGGCGGGAGATGGTGTGCGGCCCTGTGCTCTCGCTCATGCCGTAGAGCTCGTACAGGGGAATGTCCAGGCTGAGGAAGAACTCCAGCGTGTCTTTGGTGATGGGGGCGGCGCCCGTGTAGCACTTGCTGCAGCGGTCCAGGCCCAGGGCCTTGCGCACCTTTTTGAAGACCAGCTTTTTGGCCAAGCGGTAGGTGAACGGCG